CACAGCACTGTACGCAGGGCTACTGCGTGCACAGTGTTATATTCTGCAGGATTTGAAACCAGACACATTATGTATTTCACGACACATAAAAACGAAGCTAGTGTTTCGGTCTTACACCAACAAACTCACAAATAATCAGAGTCAAGGAATGTCCAGTTCCCTTTCTCGCAGTTTTTGGTATAAAAACAAATCCTCTGATAGAGAAGTGATCGTAGCGATCGAAGCTGATGTTTCCGACAACGGCATCCGTACCCCAGAAAACACCGGCATAGTAGCGTCTGAACCAACTCCCGCAGAATCTGGCACCGCTTCCATTTCTAATACCCACAATCAAAGTACACATGCAGTATCTGCTTTGTTCCATAACTGCACAAGAAGGCGAAAATATCACTTTTTACCAAAAATGCCAAAAATATTCACCAAAATTAGAGCATTGAAGATATCATTACGAAATGAACAAATCTGAGAGAGGTCCACATATAGTACCTATAAATGTAATATCAAAGCAATTGGACTTGCGGTTTTTAACAAGAAGTAGAAAATATCACTTTTTACCAAAAATGACAAAAATATTCACCAAAATTAGAGAATTGAAGATATCATCATGAAATGAACAAACCTGAGAGAGGTCTACTCAGTTTTTACACCAAGTATGAAAGCATTAAGTCTGCTAGTTTTCAAGAAGAAGTTGAAAAAGTAAAACATTGACACGGACGACGACGGACGCCGATGGACAATCACTCATATGATAAGCTCCGCTCGACAAAGTCGACAGCGGAGCTAAAAAGTTGCATACAGATTTAACCATATGCACAAGATTCCTATTCTAACAGTTACATGTACTAAGACTTACGCACACTTCAGTAGCCAGTGCTATGGGTTTAAACCCATACTTAGCATTTCTTAGCCCACATTTTTTTGACATGGGAAAACTTTTCAACCTCGAGGCCAGCACTAAGAAGCTGTATGTGAACACAACTAAAGTTTCACCTCCACAGTTTTGAAAATTAATGAATTATCTTCATCACCAAGGTAAAGATAAAGGAATGAAACTTTAATGCCCATGTACGATAAAAATTACCCATCCACATTCACAACATTTGTTTGTGTACCAGGTGCATCCGAGAAATGACTGATGACATGTTGACTTTGAACAACATCAGATCAAGGTAATACATAAGAGAATTGGTTAAGGACACAAAAAAATAATTTATTCTGAGTTATTTTATGAAAGAAGACATTTGACATTTATAGCATTTAACCTGTCCTCGTCCAAATTTGTCTGCACGTTTTTCTTGTATTTTTCAATATTTCTGGAAATGAACCCTAATATTGGAGTCAACTGACAAAATTTGAGGCAATTTTCAGTTTTTACTTAAAAAATTGGGCTACTCTTGACCCAATATTCTGAAGTAAAGTGTAGACTATAAACGGGACTATTTCATAAAAAGGGGGAACTGGTGGTGAAAAGGTTAACACAAACAATTTATTAGATAAGCAAAATGTTCATGTGAACAAAACCAGTTATTCATAGAGGTTGTCCTATTGTACAACTAAATATTTATTTATAATTTTCACTCTTGGTTGTCAAGACATCTAAACACAATACACATGATTTGTCGTATTTCACAACCACTGATAACAACAATCACGTGTGTTGAACATACTTTGGTAGGTCCACACGCGTGTACAGGCTGTTCTATTTACATGAACACTGATCTAGATACTACCAACTGTTCTAGTGCACATGCACTGAGTCAATTATCTTGATAAATTATAATAAATTACCAACAAACACACAATTGATTGGCACATCGTCTGCTGACTCTAATCCCATTAATTTTATCTATCCATGGAGGCCATTATCAGGCAATGTCTTTACTGAAAGTTCAACTCAACTTTTCCCATCTTTCAGAAAAAAAATTTTCGATATTTTTTTCAAAACAAAAATCCCAGAGACTTGAAGGCAATAGGAAACTATATTCACTAGGTCCAAAATTAATGAGGAAATTAAAGAAATATAAATAAAAACATGCAAAATGTGGCATTTACACTTTTGGCCAGAAACACAATCTTATAGAGAGCATTATTTAGAATATCTTCCTTCCCAGGGGCCTGAGCAGTATTCTAAAGATAATAAAAATATCATTTCATAACATAATCTCTTTATGGTTGAGTTTATTTTGTTTACGACAAGAGCTCAATCATTTTTTAAATCAGGTAATGCAATGTTGTTTGTTAATCCACAGGGAGCCAGGAACTATAATCAACTGTAATACACAGTCTCTATGAGCGGGGGGGTCACGACTCGGTTAGCCTTGCTCAACTGGTTCGTAACCAGTCTTGTGATTGGTTGTTGACAAATGCTGAACAGGCCAAGCCTCCAACGGTGTCGTGCGTTCGGACTAACCGTTAGGAATTCCTAAATGGAGTCAATTTGTGTAGTTTTCTTGATTTATTCTGCAGATATCGGTAAAATGTAGGTAAGGCTTTGGCGAAATTCGAAGGAGCAACTAATATTCTTCAACCTGGTATTTTTTTTAGATTTTATTTTTTATTTTTTTCGTCTGTTTTTTCGAGTTTAAAAAATGTGAGCTGGCTGGAGCCTTCATCCCTTGTCTATTTCTTACACTAAATACAAGCTACACAGTTCATTGTTGTCAAATCTGGATGATAATCGCCATTGGTGACTGACGAAGGGTCAGCAGAGACTATGTAATTCAGAATTTTATTTTATTGTGACATCTAATGTACACTGAGAGTTGAGAGGAGGAGTGTAGTTGATTTGGGGACTGCATGTGAAGATACCCTACTGACTATGTGACATAAGAATTTGGCATATTTAAACAAGCATATACACACAAGCTTTGTGAACTTTGTGATTGTTTATAGATTCAAGATAAGTTTATCCAACTCAAGATACCACAGTCACTGAATATCAAGTGTCTAGTAAAGACGATATGGTCCTATCTTATTAATGTGATATTAAAGTCAAGATAATCTGAAGGTATAAACCCAAAGTCTCCTGAAAAACAAAGTCAATCAACATAATCTGCAGTACATCATTGATCACGTTTTAAAACAAGGGCTGTCAGATTACCGGTATGCTACGAAGGTTGCAGGGGTCATGGTCGTATCTGACTGTGATTGGCAGACCAAAACACTGTGGCATTTGTGGGTCATTGTTTAAATGCACCATCCTTGCATCCTTTATCACTTTCTGGTTGTGTGGATTTGAAATTTCAGTTAGAAATGAACATCATTATATCAGTCTCACACTTGCTGCTTGCATGGTATTTGTCATTTTGTAGAATATTGAGCCAATGCCATTTTGAGCAAAGTTAGAAGGCATTGTTTTAACATTTTCTTTCTTAAGGCCCCCTCACCAATAATTCCAATTCTAACCCTATCCTCCAGCCCCCCATTTTAAATTGTATATGCCTCTATTAAAGACGCACACATGGTTATCTGGAGGGCTGGAGTGTTGGGGTTAGGGTCAAGGGTTGGGGGCGCTCTTAAAGAACTCTTTTCACGGAAACTCTCCAAAGTGTTCGTGGTCGTTGAATTACGGGGGGGGGGGGGTAGTTTCATTATTAATTATATTGTTATTTGTACGCCAGTGAATGGAACTGTGAATCAAATGACGCCACCAACGACAAATGTGATAAGGTCCACGTACACAGACATATAGTTAAAAACACATGACAGGACCTGTAGACAAGAAACACGTGCATTAACGGTTTTGTGGCCCTTCCTTGCAAGATTAGGAACTAAATAAATAGAATGGACCCAAAGTTTATGTATGCTCCACTCAAAATAGCGTCATATATGCAGTTACTGTAATCTCAGTTAGTAAATACTAAAATACACGCCGTTGCGGTAGAGCACGAGATACTAACCTTGCTTCACAAGTGCGTTGTTTTGATACACAATGGAGATGTGTCATATAAATAGTATAACAATTTACTACCGTGACACTCACGACTGTTAATCCAGACCGACGTTGCCGGCGATATAAATCAGTGGAAATTTACTCAAGCGAAAGTTCAAAAAGAAGGTCACGGGGTCATAAACAAAATAAAATGGCTTCTCTGTCGATGGTGGCGCCCCATCCATTTATTTTTGAACGACCGGGAACGGGACGGAACGAGAAGAAACCTCCCTATGACAATAGTTTAAAAGCAAAATTATGTTTAATTTTCATTCCAGCTTTATTGTTTAATATATGGATGGATAAAACAATCTTGTATTTTCCTGTATGGCTAAACCAAGTGACGTTGATCATTTTCTCGAGTAACTCTCCACTAGAGTAAATAGTTCAGGGGAAACTTGGTTTCACGTTCTTTTTTTAATTGTAATGATATCAATACGTGTGACCCTTTTGTCAATCCATTGTAAACACATTACGTCCAAAATACGGATTTCAGATTTTAAATTCTGAAACATCATGTATTGAGATCTACGTGATATAATGATTCCATTTGACCACAAGACAAGTGAAGCGTACAGAAATAGATAAGGTCAAAACGAGTGTTAGTAAAGAACAGAGAAACATGGGTAGTATGGATTGTTTATTGTTGGTGTTCCACGAACAATGATTATACTATATAGTTACCAATCCACACTCGCATTTAGTTTATCCAGTATAGCTACCATATTCCATGTAGCACAACTGTGATATAGTGTTTTTATTTAAATAACTCGATAATGTAGTATGATAGTATATTTGACACAAAATAATGCATGGAAAATACATCATCTATGGCCAATATACATTACTTTATAAACAAACAAATAAACAAAAAAATGTATTGCAACTTACATTTTTATATCTGAGCAGTGAAACAATATTTCACCTTTACATTCAAAACAACCTATATTGTTTATAGCTACTGAAGCAACATGGTTCAGCTTTGTGGTACTAGTTTCTTATATGTACTATACGAAAAATCATTCATTCTCGATTTACAACGCTGGTAGTAAAATTGTCCTCTAATAGCTATTGTCATTTCCTCACACTGTGAAAGTCATCATATTCATATTATTTAACTAATTGTGCAATTAACAAAAACAAATGCGCTAATCATCCAGTAATTATCCCGACGCCATGACGTCATTCGATTAGCATAATCTCTGCTCATCGCGGTCTTCATGTTTGGCTTGGTATGCAAGACCTGATCTACCTTCTTCAAAAAGTTTGAAACTATCTAACTGATGTTTATTGAATTGTTTTTGTAACTGTGGTGGTATCAAATGAGAACATTTATATTTTTCTTTCAGTGCTTTACTATTCTCTGTATCTTCTATGCAGATTACTGCAATACCTGTAAAAGAAAGTAACAACAGCATTATATATGCAGAACATTACAATCATTACAAAGTAAATGTTATAATCTCGTCCTCTGTTAATACTTTCATTTTTTTTTGAGTTTTGGCAAAAATGAAATGTATATAACACGTTGAATGATATATATGAGAAATATATATCAAGTTCAAATTTCAAGCTTGAAAAATATAAAACGTCCGACAGTTGTTGATCGAAAGAACATAATATATTAACAGCTGTATAGTTGATATAGTAAACGGAGTTGTCAAAGTACAACATGTAAAGTAAGAAGCAATCCCATTGCACCTCAATCATTGTTAACGGGTGGTGGTGGTCGTCGCGCTGCGTATATGCGACTTTTGTGTTGATAACTTGAAACATTGATTTTCCCACAATCCAATATGCTCTTCTAGTAATTAAAATTAGTATAAGGTTTGACCTGAGCGCGACTTGCACCAATTACCGCCGGTGACTCCGACACTTTCCAATCACCTAGAAAATATCTAATTAAAGCTTGGTAATGTCTCAGTTCGTACTCGTTGATCTGCGCAATAGTCAAAGTCGCCATCCTGGTTTACATCATAATGAGACCCACATATCTCGCACATGCGTGGCGCAATGACTACTGCCCTTTACCATTTATATTCCCTTGGTAATTATTAAAGTGGGGTCGTCACACTGCATTTATATGAGCCAGTAATACCATTTGTTGCTGAATGAAATACACAATAAGTAAACGCATTGTATGAGTACCTGCAACTATTCCTTTGAGTTTCTCGATAATATCTATAGTAGCATACATAGTACCGCCAGACTCAATCCACTGGTCAACCACGAGAACTCGTGTACCTGAAATAAGATGCAAAGTGCAGTTTAGATGCATACTGTAATGTAGTGTGACATTCTGTCGTTTCTCTGTAACATGGTTCGTCTGTAATTCTGTCTGAATTATTTCTCAGTAGAATGATGAAATAATTACTCATATATTTGTTTTTCGGTTTTTATTACTAATATTTATTTAAGGGGCATTGGGATGGGCGTCCTTCATTGGCATATATTGTCATACCTTCAGCAAAAGCGTCCTTTCTTATCTCAACTGTCAGTTCAGACCCTTTCCAGTCTTTATATCCAGCTGACACTGTTTCCACACAGAAAACGCCTTTCTGACGAACAGATAGATAGCCTTTTTTGAGGTGAAATGCGATCGCAGAAGCTACAGAGAATAATGTAATTACGACATGGAAATGAGCAAATAATCTTAAAAATCATTCACAAATAATATAACTAAATAAAATTTGTGCCAAGTACCACAATCAAAATATACTACTCGAATTAAAGAAACCAATCACTATTCACACATTTAATGCTTTACATATGGCATAATGTACGTTTCCAGTTCCAGAGGAATGGTTACAGTAAGTTGGATTAATCTACCCCACACTCGAAAGAATAGTGGTACACTGAATCTGAAATTTATTCTAAACATGCCACACATGGGCCACTCATATTATGTATAAATAAACTATTGTACGTTACCTAACGTTGTACCAAACGGGTCTATCCCAGCAACTAAGTCTATTTCATCAGGGTCAAATGCAGCTACCAAATCACGAACGCATTCTTGAAAAGCCTGTCAGGTATAGGAAATAATCACACAAATACATTTATGTTCTAAACCAACAAAATACACCTGAAATAAAACTTACGCTCACTATGCCAGTTCACCATACAAAAAAAAAACATCTCTCATACATCAAGTTATCCATTTTTCGATTAAAAAAGGGCTCCATTCAACATTATTGGTGCGAAATATGAAAGAACGAACGAAAATTAATATCAATGGCGAATACGTACTGCAACATTCATGTATTGTTATTTAAAAAGTGGCTGACAATCGTTTCTTATTTCGCTGATCACCTTTAGTGTATATAACTGTTTTACTAAGAAAGTTCAAGTCAGTGTCCGATTGACCGTAATCTTACATAGCGAGTGAACACGTAATGAGTAGTCAAGACAGATTGCTTTTTTACATTGTATTTCTGATAAGTCGTAATAAGCTAAATACAGTAGACTGACTTCAGTCGGGGTGATTAATATTTGTTTGTAAAAACTATTAAAACTTGGTGACTCATAATTAGTAGAAAAATAGTGACGGATGTGCACTATCTTTTCGCTATCAAGTAACCGATTTCGAGAAAAAAACAAACAAAAAAAAAACAAAAACAAAAAACAATTTTTTAGATGTAAATGGAGTGGATACACGTCGACTTATGATGTAAATACCTCGGTGTTAACATACATCCTTGACGGATCAATCCACGAATATCCTTGCCCTTTGACATTGGGTGCCATCAACGACAGATACCAATGTTTTTCTCGTTTTTCTGACATTCTGAAATGAAACTGCAGACAGGTAATAATAAATCATGTACGCAATGTGGAGTATATATACACTCTATACATATAGGTATTTCCATACGAACAAGCACTGGATTTCGTTGTCTCCAATGAGCATAAATCATTCTTTAGTGCCCCCAATTTTTTTTAAACACGCTAATAATAATATAATAATAACTTAAATAAAATAGTAAAGTGAATGGAATTATGAATATGTTTGTTCAAATAATCCTCCTGATATTAAAATTTGATCTATTTTTGTTGAGATCCTCGCACACGATATGATGTACAAGTATGTATATTTCAACTTAAGCTAAAGTTTATATTCCTTGATTTATTAAATGAAATCAATATGCACAATTTTCTTTCAGTTTTCATTCTTTCAGAAGTATAATTGATTCCGCTACAGCAATCAAATTCATTCAAAGAAGACAATACTTTTTTTCAGTCGTCTTATTACTGAGAAAAATTGTACGTATGCACGTTTTTTCCATGTTGATCGTTTTTAAAAAGGATCACAAAACAATCAAATGTCAAACATTCGCAACAGAAACTTTTTCTGTAATGTCACGCTGTAGTTACGAGATGATGACAATGTTAAAGTGCCTGTGAAATGCCCACCAACACATTACCCGTTTTGAATTTGTGTTCCACTGGAATATGCAGTTATTGATTTTTGTTTTTAAAAATGATTACTTGTATCCGAGTAAATTAGAGATATTTCTCTGTTGTAGCCACGCCCATCCTGAAACAGTCAAAAAACTTTAAAAATGGACTTTATACTTGATAAATTAAAAAAATAATAATATTGATGTACCAATACATGCAGTCATTTCACCGGCACTTTAAATATATAGCTCCAATCATCCAAGTATCGTAGTGCGACCTCTACAGTTAGGAATGCAGCTGTGCCTGTGCATTGACAGGCAGATCGCCGCAAATGTCTGTTCTGAATAGCGCCACCTGTGTTGACACAATAGTGTCTGTGTGTATTAACATTTCCGGGTTCGTTCGTGGTCTGGTGACATTTTCACACACTTACACTCTTGGATTAATAATTATGTATCCATATTCATATGACGTGTAGCGTCGATTTACATAGTATGTCACACTTTCTAAACTGAGCATGCGCACTTCTGAAATGAACATACAACCGATAAGCGATACTTTTACACGTGATTGCGGTTTCGGTGTTCGCTGCATTACCGGGCATAAACAAATCCATGTTATTGGGGTTGGTCGCGACAGTAAATTACTCACCTGTAGTGTTAGATAATACGGTCTTTGCTCAATTAATAAGACTCAGTGCGTACTCACTGAAGCCATGATGACCCCAATGACCTCTGTGGTTTCAACAGGAGAACAATTCGTCTGGTTTCCTGCCATAATTTCAACGCTGAGGGCGGTTCAGAATATGCAATTCAGACATATTAGTACCACATTTAATTAAAACAAGCCGGATAAAGTGTCAATATGGGGACACGCAACCTCGGAGTTGCCTTCATTTTTGAAATAAATCGAAAGTCAAAAATCGCCCAAATATGTTTTTGGAGAATCGTGAATCTAACAGTGTTATGCTATAGTTTAAATGTAAGTTTAGTAACTTACAACGTAATTATGAGTCATTTTCCCAAAGTTTATCGAAATCGGCCAATGCTGAAATGGAGAAGTAGGGAAAACAAATACTAGAATAAACAGACAACAAATGCTGACATTCCGACTTTGAAAAAAATGAGCTAATCACGTGTATGTCCGTATATTAAAATCGGTGACTGGAAGTCTGGTTTACAACAATGGTATATTGGTATTTAAATTTCAATGACTACTTCTTAATTGCAATTGCGCATGATACAATTGACAATATTGGTATTTAATTTGAACTTTATACATAATGATGCGTGTGATTTACTAAGACATTATAAAAAACATTGAAAAAAAAATGTTACAAAATAATATCAGCTAAGAGATGCGTCAATTATTGGGTTAAAATAGATTTCTCAGTCAAGAACTAGACCAAACTGTTTCACTTATGTTAAACAACTATTATCATCGTGCAATATGCAAGAGGTTTGGAATGCACAGGACGTCTCAAATATTGATTTACTTATTAAGATCTTCGTTTCTAGATTGGAATATCGTTTGTATTTGTGTTGGTATGGTAATATTTCAACTATGGATAAAATAGAAAACTATCGAAATTTCAAAATTCGTCTTGGAACCGAATGATATTTATTTCTCGTGTCTGTCCCCGCTCACAGGTGTGTGTTATCGCGTTTTCATTGTTCTGGTATTTGTCTCAGGATAGAAACAGACAGGAAAAATGGTACCGGAAAAAGTGGCCGAGTCTGTCCTTTATGTAATTCTGAAATTAAAGATGAATATCACTATTAATTTGTCCATTTTTGAGGTTATTGGGGATAAATACATTCCAAGATACTATTTTACATTGTCTTCATATAATAAGTTTGTGGAATTGATGGAGACGTCTGACAGTAACATACTACAATCCATGGCAGCTTATTTGTATCATTTCTTAAAACTAAGACATGAAATTTACAAAAGAACATTGAGTGACTTTACAGCATGATTTATTTATTTGTTTATGCAATCTGTATTTTTGGAACACAGGCCTTGAACTACGATACAGATCATCATCGATACTAAGACATTAGGGAGATTAATTTTATGATTTGCAAATAAATGCTTACATTTTCCAGTTATGCGCAATACATTCTCTATGTGGTGCACGTCTATCATTGGACCACTCAACACACTGCTTATTCACGCGGTGTGCGTAGGTCATTGGACCACACAACACACTGCTTATTCACGCGGTGTGCGTAGGTCATTGGACCACACAACGTACTGTTGATTCGTGATGCGGTGCGGTTAATATTTATTGACTCACATAAAATCTAAATAAGTTGAAGGATATCAATAAAAAAAAATTATCTATGTTTCAAAATTTTTAAAAATATCAGTTATGCGTGTCCAAAGTCGAAGTTGATTGTATAACACTTATTTACAACCACAGCAATTTTAACTGCAACGGTAATGACAACGACATCATGGCATTATTTCATACGCGACCCCCCCATTTCATTCAAGGCAAGGCTATTTAAAAAGAACTGACTGACTAATTAAATATTCTCCAACGCGACAAGAATACATTATCCCCACATACTTATTCAACCTTCATGAGGAGAAAATCGTGTGAAAAGATCGAAATGAGAGGAAATTTAATAACATGTTAAGCTAAAAATCTGTAGTACTAGTAATCCCTATTGCGTTCATGTTAGGTTTAGGATGACATTCAAATACGCGAAGTACTCAAAGCATCGAAAGAATGCTTGAACACTGTTCTCCCTTCCTTCATTTGAACACAATGGGTATGAGTTGATTAATGCGCCAAGTGCATTTATGGTGATAACTTATTTTATGTTCTGGGGTGTTGACAAAAGTTGAATAAGATGACGCTTTTCATTTTGCTCTCATTTTGAATTCGATATTGTACTCAATGGACGAAGAAATTGAAAAAGTGGTTTGTTTCCAATTGACCCACTCTGTTAATATAATACATAATATAAATGTACTACCCGGGTTGAGTTGCAGAACATTGGATTCAGGTTCCCATATTTTATTTTGTCTGCTTACTGCAAGGTATATTGATAATGAGAATGTGAGTTTTGATTAGTGTGAAACAATTGTAAATGCAATTGTTAAATTGTTACGTCCAGAAAAAAAACAAGATTATGTCTTTCATGATGGGAGTCAATGAGAAGACGTTAGCATAGTTTCTTGTACATTAGATTAATAAGTACGATACAAGTGCTATAGAGAAAACACACAACCGTAGATTGCATAGGGAAAATACAAGTTAATGAAAACAGTGAAAAGAATGCAACTGCAGCCAACGTATATTGATATTGGCCGACGTCAAAAACAATAATTACGAAGAAGAACAACAGTACGCGAGATACAATTGTGAGCCAAAACTTTCTGAGTTAAAATAAAATTTAGCCATCAGCATAAAAAATAAAATTCGAATGTCACGGTTCTGCATCCTTTTATACAATTTAAGTGCCTCGGCTGTTATGTTATCAGAGACCAGTAACAAACATAATGACGCCAGAGACAAGAATGCACAAGAGGTCAATATAAATATTTATTAAAATATAAATATTTATTATCACGTGACTGCGTTTGGCTCTCTCATAGGGATAATATTTGCAAATTTCTCTTTGCTATCCCGGTATTCTGATTGGTCCATCCATTTTGTAGTTTAAACTTTTGACATTATGGTTGACCTTAACAAAATACGCTAATACCTCATATATTTGTTAGGATTTTCACACAATATTTCTTGTATTATAATTGGCTATTACATTCATTCAGATATTTCTAACAGATTCAGCTTAAATGCATAAATGAGACGTCATTGTAAATTCTTCCAGCCTCAATGTCAATGTCTCCGCCCTTAGAACAAAAATAAACTGAGGAAGAGCAAAGTAATACAGATCTTGACATCCGAAACCCGGATTCAGAATCAATGTACATTCCTTCACATCTCTCACATGTCATATAATTTGTGAACATTTAATACAAACCTGTTCCTTGCCTGCGTTATGAGGTCACAATAAAATAGTACCTGTCAAGTGGGTGAGCAGTGGATTTGTGTCAATACATCAATATTTATTACAGCAGTATTCAGGTCGACGGAGATATTCACTATTTAGTAGAAACACTTCAGCATTTCACGCTTTGGTACTACTGTCGAGTGGAGATTCAATAGTTTTACCCACCGTACGCTATACACAAGCAAACACGTACTATAAAAACAAGACTTCTTCGAGCTGTTATATTGTGATTGTCGACAATAGAACTACTAGTGACATTAAGACGAGAAGATGGAAATTAGGTAGGAAGGCCTTTTCTATCATTGTATATGATACACTGAATAAAATCAGCGTAGTGGCCGTCGATAGACGTCTTTGTCTAATTTTCTTTGTCTAGTTTTTGCCAGTCTTGGTAATAAATCAGTTAAGTAAGGTAAGGTTCAGCAGCTCATGTTAGATTTCACTCTGAACTGCGTGTATGATTTCAGAACAGGTTTAAAGTGGCGGTTTCTGCTACTCTATACGAATCAGTAAATTACACGCTTTGTATGTAGATGTAACCGTTTGCATTTGCAGTCATAACTTGTAATAATTGCTTTACAGCTGTTCGATTCTAAACCGCCCATGAAATCAATTGTTTTCTTCGTGACTACGTTTATGATATATTAATAATTAACTGCTTAAACAAAGATAGTTCGACTTAAAGCCAATATTTTTAGTACTGGCTGGCTACTTACTGACAACTGTTTGATACACTGTTTGATGAATAAATACTAACATAATGTGGCAGTATATTCTCGATAAAGTAGTTTGCTTATTTGTCATAACATTCACGACTTACATGGTCTGATAATAAATCTCGTCTACTTTATGAAAAGTAAATACCCACTCATATTAAACTGTCAAACTAATAACAATATGTGTATGCATATTCAATGTATGCTAAGTAGAAATACGTAAACGCGTAACACTATAAATATGTTGTCAGTTGTGAAGGGAATTTAATACATATACATATATATAATAAAGATATGCTTTGACAAACACCTTGTAATTAACCACTGGTAAAACTAATTTAGTGGTTCTCGACTAATTAGAATGTTCAATTACAGAAAAGATATAAATCCGAATGTCTTGTCGAATTTGTTTGTTCTCATAAACCGTTCTAAAATATGATTTTGTTCCAATGATTTTGAGTTGTATACAAATTACGTGATCAAAGATGAAACACTGTTTTACTATGGGCTCACACAACGGACGATGTAGAAGATACACATTAAGGTAGAGATGCAGTTTATTGGGCTTGCTTTTTAATTGAGTAATTAGACAATGAAGATCGTATTATATATCCAACATGTTATATATTTTCTGAAAGCTTATTATACAAACTTTGTAAAACTTGTCTTTATTTTAAATATCCAGAATGCGTTTCTGATTTTGGGTCAAAAATATGCTTTTTTGGACAAAAGTGGTTTAAAAAAAATAGCTTAAAAACTTTAAGTTCGTTTGTGGGTAAAATTACATCACTGGATACCTAGGTATACTACTAATTCAAATGCGTCCACTCATCTCTCTAACGGCTTTCAAAGTCACACAGCATGACCTCAAAGTTCACTCTTTTCTATTTTTGCATAATTTATATATCCATGTTAATTGCGGACTTGTTATTTTTGTTCCACTTGCAGTAATAAACTGTCCGGACGCATTTTGAAGGGGGAACACCTTGTCAATAAAGTGTGAAAATTTCGAGGCAAATGGCCAAAGCGTCTATCAGCTATTTTAATTTAAAACCCAAGAATTCACCAAAAATAGAAGACGAGAAAAAGGCTAATTTGCATATTTGCGCGTTAAACTGGGAATTACTGCTTTGTCATACTTTGTCATACTTTCTAGACTATTGAAATTGAAAGTTAACGTATAGACATAGACATTTTATGTAAAATTGTTGGACCAGAACAACTGCTCTTGAATATATAAATCAGAAACACGTCATTCATACCAGTGTTTTGATGGGGTCGGTAAAAACATGTGTCAATGTCATGAATTATTAAACAGGGGGTGGTCCGAGGAAGGTGACTTTTTATCATGATCAAAACATCATGGCTTCTCTTCGATGTATTTTCAATAAAAAATCTACGAGTATTTCAGAGCCTATGGCTTACCGTGAAGAGTACAAAGTGGGATATTAAATTAATTATCCTTGATGATTTTTATGTAGTATTTAGAACCAACTCCAGGAAGCGAACACACAATAATGAATAATCCCGTAATCTTAGATTCGAAACGCGAGGCACAGAAGTTTTGTTCAGCGTTTCCAATCCCATTTTCCCACTGCAACATATTTGTTAAAAGAAATATTTGAATTCTGTTCGTTTTTAAGGAGGCAATTTTTATTT